TATACTTAATTTCAGTAAATATAATAATTATACTGTCTATAATGAACAAGTATTTAAACAGATAAATTGGTTTTTCAATGGGAGCTAATCCTCAAACATAGCTAATTTATATGCGTTCCTCTATTAAAATATACTTTCGAAACAAGCAATAAATCCTAATTTATACTATCATAAAGTTCGCTATATTGACGATTTAACATCTATCAATAATTTAAACTTTAATCATACAGATGTATATCAAAATGAACTTATATTAGAAAGATGTAATAACTGTGCTCATTATTTAGATTTAGATATCGTTTTCGTGAAAGGCAAAGAGCAGTTGGTCGTTTCTGATAGAAGAGCCCAGTAGTATAGCGGCATGTCTGCGAACTTACACCGCTAAAAACTGTTTTTCTATGCCCGTGGTGGGCAGAGCACAGATAGCCCTTTGTGCTTACTACAAAACAACAATAACTGATAGAAGAAGAGGTTTTAATTTTTCTATCCTTGGTCTACCTAATCCAAACAGTAAAGTTCCGTAAAGGTAATAGTTGTCTCACAATTAAAAAAATATTTGACTATTTATAATAACGCTAATTCTTTTATAATGTGTTGTTACTGGCAGATACATTTAAAAATAATAGATATAAAGATTGAGAAATAAAAATTACATTTTTCATAATAAATATTGCAATATGTTAAAATATATATATTATTATTTTTATATATAAATGAATTGATTGCCTTTTTGACATCATAAAGAGGACGCTAGTTATTCAAGAACGCCCAAACAATATAAATAACAAGCCTTCAAATTTTAGTTAGAGATTTATTCAGTATGCCGGGACGGAAAGATCAAGTTCAGGTAGCTGGGCTTGTCTCAGCTTATCTGGATTATACTTGAATAAGCTTTGTCAATGGGAGAGGATGGGTGTTTAATTAATTACTACCGAACTATGAAGGTGAGGGTTTATGCTTTCAATTACCATCATTTTTTAATAATTAAATTAGTTATAGGGCGGCGGTTGGGAATTCTACAATTTACAAATGTAGGATTATATGGTGGTTTATTTCTACTACTATAGTATAACACTTAACAGTAGAACTATAACTTATAAGTATAACTATATGGTTATTTTAACAACTTCCATTTAATTTGGGTTTTATGTCAAAATATTAACGCTAACTGCCTTCCCATAACTGAAATTAGCACTATTACAAATTACAGTGAACTGCAGTAGGACTAGGAGTCAAATCACTCAACTTCTAACCCCTAAATTGATCTAAATTATAAATGGCCACTTAGTTTGACATATGCGTTTAGATTATGTCAGATGGTAAAAGTGTTAGAGATATTCCAAATCCATCGGTCTTAGCTGCTATAACCACATACATTTCCGCTATAGTTTAATAAGTAATTACAAGGACTGGCAATAAAGAAGTTATTGTTTTTATAATTAACATTTCGGTCTTTTTATACTAGCTTTGATCATTGTTTTATAGTGCTGATTTGATCGCCTTTAGACAATTGATCTAATGTATAGTATTAGTTGTATTTATAATTTAGTTACAAGTTATGTGTGGTACATTAAAACTATATTTTAACTGTTCTAAGTACAAGCCCTGAATGTTTTGGAACTAACAATGCTCCTGCTAGTTAAAATGTTTTGTTCTAAAATTACTTTAGAGATATTGTTAAAACTATTACCTTGGTCAAGTGACATTTCTACAAGGTTGTGTTTTGTCACATGTATATTGCATGCAGAATATGTATCTCTTCCACAAATGAGTTCTAGAAGGAGCTAAAATAGGCCACGAAGTTAATGTAGGAATACATTTTAGGGTTGCTAAACCCAATTGTGGGATCAGATTTTGTGTTCCTGGCTGCTACTCGCAATCCCAGGGGTGACATGCTTGTGAAATTGTGTTCGTGTACCCACTGAAAAACTGACGGGACCAAATATAGCACAGGTACCATTTTGTGACATTTGTATCATACTTGACTGAGGACAAAACAAAAAATGTGAAACTTGATTTCACAGTAAATGTATGCAGAATTTATTTTAATCCACAGTTATTTTAAATTGGGACAGACTGTTTTAGATGCCCATAAATCTTCATTCCAACAACATATAATAATGTAATCCAAATGTATACTTTTAATAGTGGCTCATAAACCCACTAATGAACATTTACTTTGAGGTGAGGGATTGAGAAGTAATTATTGAAGCTTCTAAAATAAAATTTTATATCTGAAATACTATACTGAATCTTAATCTGTGTTTATTGATTTGGTATCACATTTGTCTTTAACACTTGGGAAATATAAAAATTCTTCAAGAAATGCTTCAAGTTTTCTTTTATACACAGACAAAGGTGACTTGTAGATCTGACATAGCCACACCCACAATAGAAACAAAGTGATGAACAACATTCTGTACTGATCTTGTTCGACACTGAAGTAGTTATCAAGTGGGCTATGTGTACCTAACAGTCATGCATTGGAAGTATTACTCTAATTATGTTGAGAATTTAGCAAAATTTATGTTTTGTTTCATGTATTGAAACAAAAATATTAGGTGTGTTATTTTATGGCCTCCAACAAAGAAATGACTTAAATATCTGGATTCTTAAATTTTCAATTAATTTATTTTACTACTAGAAAGTTTGTTTCATACTTGGCCAAAAAAATTCAACTTATCACGTTAGTAAACTCGGCAGTGATTTGATTCATACTGTAAGTAATATTAAGTTTCAACCAGCAAATTGGGGAAGCGTCACATAAAACTTTTTTAAAATCTGTAGTGGTGTTCTAATACGAAATAGCATCTCATAAATAACACCATTCATAATAACATTTCAAAGATTTTATTATGTAGTGATTTCAAAAGAAGTCTAATTTAATTTCAAGACTGAAAACAGTTTGAAAGAGATTAAAATGAAGTGTTGCTTCTGTTTAAGGACAGTATTGAAAACTTGCTAAATATATTACATTATAATATTATCGACATGGTTCTTGTTATATTGAGATGTTATATATTTTCTAATTAGGAGAGACTAGTTATTTTGTAGCTTGCACTGGGTACAGTTTTCATTTCTTTAACTGTTAATTAGCTGAAAGGGTATACATTTCTGTGAAAAGACTAGAAAACTTAACTCAAGTTAAACCTCAAAAAACGTGATCTAAAAGTTTTTTGAGAAACTGTCTCAAAGATGTAACATTTAGAATATGGATAATTAATACTGACAAGATGCATAGTACACAGTTCACGTAAGAATAGCCATGATGTATGTATTTTGTAAACATAAGTAGTTGATTTTATTTTTAGCACCATTTCATTTACACTCAACTGACTTATTAGAAAAAAAACTACAAATGATCACACAATTTTTAAAAATAGATATATTATTTCTCATCAACTTTCATTATACATAGTAAACATTTGTTTATAAAATATTCCTTTTATTCTTATGTTTTACTTTAGAATGAACTGGTTATCTGAAATGTTTTTCATTGTTTATATCTATTTATATTTAAAACATTACCCAGGTCAAAATTCACAAACATTAAATGATTCAATGGAGTAAAACCATTAAATATTTACAGAAAACAATATGCTATACTTATATGGAACATATTTTAACCAAAATTACTAATTGTTTTTGTACAATGACACTATTTTGTAATCAAATCAATTTTTATATAAAATAATGCAGATATAAGGTTAAAGTTTTGATTTAGGTTTGGTAGCCTCTTCAACACCTTGATTACTGTGGAATGGTTGAAGCATTTTGTGATCTGCATTGAGGAAAAAAAAAATTAATGTTTGTTCAAGATGCTTGATAACTTTGTATAATAAAAGAACATACATTAGCATCCTTTAACACTGGTGCTAGAATAAAACTAGATCAACTACAATGTTCGTAGTAGATTTATAACTGAATTAGAATATTTATATGATTGGAATTAAAATAAACTATAATATATTCCACAATTTTAAATGTTTATTTTGTCATTTACCAATCTACTGTGAATGGAAGTAAATGAAAAGTTATAAAACAAACTCTAGAACTTCTTTTAAATGTTAATCAAATGTTGGTGATTGGAGTCAGGAAAACAGGACTTGCCTAACTTCAAATGCAAACTTTTTTTAAACAATTAATATTACATTTACTTCAAAACTTTTTGATACATAAATTGTATGTAATGTAAAAATTTCTTCATAACAGGTGACAATTCAAGTTGTTTTTATATCAAATTAAACATAGAAGTTCAGCTAACCTGGTACAGTCCAAAACAGTGGGCTGTAAAGACGACCCCCACCATCTACATGCACAGTTTCTCCTGTTATATATGATGCTGCAGGAGACAGAAGAAAACAAACGGCTGCTGATACCTGTAGAAAAAAAATTAAATCTTGGTTTCTGTTTTAATTTGGTCAAAATATTTAAACTTCTTTACAATATAGCAATTTCAGTAAATCAAGAGTGTATAGAAAAATTAATACTATGTTGAATACCTAAACAGCTAAGGAATGTATTGAAACATAATAATGAACTGAACTGCCATTACTTTTTTCTTGTGATATTTTTAGTCATTCTACCAGAGAGTTAAAAGGTTTGTGAAGAAATAATTTAAGATGTATCTTTAATGTACAAGAAGGCAGTGTCTGTGAAACCTTTTGTTTAATATCAGAACTTATCATCTAAGTTAGTACTTTAGTGATTTGTATGAAATACAATAGTATAGTATTAAGAACGAAAATTGGGTAAAACAATCTTTTTAAGCTTTGTGACAAACCATCAAAATAGACTTCAGATGACTTTTGTTTCTTTTCAATAATCACGCAAGCTACACAAACGCTATCTGTATAAGCTTTCCCTAATTTTAGGCTGCACTCACAACCCCCAATTCAAAGCACAATTTTTCAGTCACAAAATGTAAACCATTGACCATCTAATTCCCAGTCTGTCACACTAACCACTATAAGCCACAAAATATTCACAATAACCAAGTCAGACTTTATTTTTTTTTTATGTTTCTTGCATTTTAAGTCCGTACATATTAGAGATTTTTTGTAACATTTGTTCACTTTCAGATGCTAATGTGCAAGCTTATTATGTATTTTACTATGAACATATGAAAACTTTAAATGTGTTAAACAAAATAAGATACTTTTTTTTATATAAATATGAATTATTTAAACAATTTTATAATCACAATTATCATAATAACAAAATATTCTCTATACCAATATTTAATAATAGCAAGTGCTGACATAATAAAATACAAAATAGACTTGGCTAATTAGAGAACTCACTAATGAATTACTAACTTTGGTTTGTAACAGTCCACCTCTAAAAGAGCTTAATATTTATTATGCTCATCAAGCTATTATTTAGCATTACAAATAGTAACCAAGAAAATAGGTATTTTTCGTTATGTTTTGTACAACTTTATTTTAAAAATCATGCAGAATAAGATTAAACATTACCTCCTCAGGGGTACCTAGCCGTTTAGCTGGAAGATGAGGTTTTACTCTCTCAAAAACGTCTATGGGATAGTTTTTTGCTGCTGTTTCAGAATATATAGAGTTCCCCTGTGAAATTTAAAATTTGATATTCACGTATGTGTATTTTTTAAAGATAAAACATTGTACTCTTTAGTTAAGTAATTTTTTGTTTTGTAATTCAAACTGTCAATAATAGACTTGCATGTGCATACCAAAGCCACTATATCCAAAAATGTATCTATTTCTTGTTTTCTTAGTGGAGACCACAACAACTTTTGAGATTGACCTTTTTCTGCACTATAAAACTAATAAAAAAATTAAGACTAGGTTATATTAATTATATTTTATAATATTGTACAGACAACAATTGTAACTTCAAACACGCATACATATATTTTTTAGGTAATATTTTTAAGAACTAGTTTCATAGCCAACAAAAACATTATTCATTTGAGACAATCTCTTGTGACTTCATACCTTCTCTTGGGGTCACTAACCATTAGATAAGCAAAAAAAGGTGATTGTTTATAAAAATACTAATTGTTTGACCACCACTTCAATAAGGTTTCATTAAAACCAAAAAAAAAGGTAGTAAAAATTAACTAAATTATATTTTTTTATATATATATTTAATAATTAATCATACAGGGCTTAAGATTATTATTCTTTGTTTTACAACACAATGTCTCTTTTATGTAGTACACAAACAATCCCAATAGTACAATATGTCGTACATATTATTTATACTATGTTTTAAACAGTTAAATATGTGACAAATCCAGCACTATTTTTATTGTAAAATGCACAGCACATTCAAAGTTCTGATTTCTTTTATATATGAAATACACCACAATGACAAATACATGAGTAGATTTAATAATCACAATTCATAATAAAGAGTTTACTGACTTAATTAAATATTTGAATTAGTGCTTACATTTACTGCCAACAATACTTTCAGAACAGAAATACTGTTAATGAACAATATGTAAATAATGTACACAGTTGTTTTTATATGCCTGTTTAATGCACATTTAAGAATTGCAAATAGCAGTTGGTAAGTTATTGTTCTGTTGTATTCTTTCATTAGGCAGGTTCTTCTAAATTATCTGGTAAAAATAATGAGAAGTCCAATCCACATAAAGTGACATAATGATAAAGAATTCATTTCCTTTAATATTTCTACCAGCTACATCTACCTGTACGCTGTTGAGGGCATAACTTCACACGTAATGATTTGTCAGAAAAACCTACCTAACACTCATTAAACACACCATTGAACTAACTGAGTTAACTCCAACTTGTAACTAATGTACATGTGTCTAGAAATTAGTTGCAGTTTCTCTATCTCAGTCCCTGTGATCAAGGCACAGCTTTATGCCAGTTGGCAATTAATTTGGGGTGATCAAATTCATAAGCTTTTCCAAATCAAACCTTCTGTTGTTCATTGGCTGTCTAGTTTCCCATTAGGATCAGAGGGAGGAAGTTATCTTGTATTGGCTATGCATTGGTCACAGGTTTTTTAATCATCATTTTCTTTTATGTGGGACTGATCAGCTAATGTGTGGCCTTTGTGACACTCGGGTCTCAGTTGCCCACATTTTAATTTCATGCCATCATTTTGAATGTGAATGGCAGCACCATTTCAAACATGTCTTTTCTCAGGGTTTACCCCTGTGATTGGCAATGGTGACACTGTCCAGCTTAATTGTGTTTAGCTTTTTATGGGCCCTTGGCCTTTTTAAATCTGTTTAGTTTGACCTGATTTTTGGGCATTGTTTAGCTTTTAGCTTTTTTTACTTTTTATATAGTCTAGCTGCTTTGTGACACCAAACTCCCAACAAATCAAGGTCCCATGTCCTTTAGCTTACATATAAATTAAAACATTGAATATATAGCTTACAACACTGCCTTCTTCCTGGAATGTGAAGTCCCTTGAACAAAATTCCAATACAAAAATAAGAAAACACTAGAATGTCCATTCACCAAGTAGTTTTGGTAGTTTTCTCTTCTGAAGCCTATGTTATGCAGAAGGGATGGCCTCTTGTCCCTTATCGTCACTTGCTGTCCTGCCACTAGGAGAATTCTACGGTGGTAGATGATTGAGTGAAACCACTGGTGGTTTTATATGCTTATTGATCCTCTGGATGTTCTCTTCACGAGAACTCTAGGATCCTTAGCAGGTTGACTTTCTATTCCCAAATTTTTTTTCTGGATTTACCAAATTAGTTGTTTTCTTAACAATATACTTCTAAAGACAATCATAGTGGATTAACTTCGGCATAGACTGCTTGTCATTGACTTCTGGATTATGTAAACCACATAATTGATTTCTTTCAGTAAAACATATGGCCCTTTCTAACACCTGCTTAACATTGGAGTTCATCTTTTCTTGCAGTGGGAATTATACAGACATATCTCAATGGAATCCAGTCTTATAAGCATTAATATCTTAGCAATTTTTCATTTTATAAGAAACTGATTTAAGTCTTTTTCTAAGTACAATCAGGTGACTCTGTAGGCTCTGCCATGGTTTACTATGTCTCAGTAGTTGCTCGCAGGATCCCTTCTACAGTTTCTGTGTTCACTGCCGAGTTGTATGCCATTTCTCTGGCCCTGGATCGTGTAGAAGCTATGCAGTACAACGAATGTACTATTCACAATGATTCTCTTAGCTCTCTACTGGCCCTGGAATCCCTTATTAGTTCTAACCCTGTTCTCGTTGATATTCAACAATGACTGGCTCATTTTTCTCTATCTTCCATTTCCATCCAGTTTTTCTGGATACCTGGCCACGTCGGTATTTGCAAAAATGAGCTTGCTAACACCACAGTTAAACCCATCTGCTCTGGTGCCATTAAGGCTATGCCTGTCCCATATATGGACTATGGTCCTGTACTCAAGTCGTGGCTTCTTGCCAGTTGGCAATCGACTTGGTGAGCAACTTCCAGACCAAACCTACTGTTACTCTTTGGCCGTCTTGCTTCCATAAGGATTGGCAGAAGGAAGTTGTCCTGGCTAGGATACACATTGGTCACAGTTTTTGTAACTTTCTTTTATCTGGTACTGACACACCAATATGTAGCCTTTGTGACACTCAAGTCACAATAGCCCACATTTTACTGTCATGAGCAGTGGCACCATTTTAGACATGTCTTTTCTACAAGTTTACCCCTGACATTGAACAGTGTCATTGGCAATGATGACACTGTCCAACTTAATTGTGTTTTTTAAATTTTTACGAGCCATTGGCCTTTGTTTAGTTTTAACTCTATATATTTTTACATTTTATAAAATTTTACTTTTACGGTTTTTACTGGTTGGTTGGCACAGATAGCCTAGTGGCTTTGCACCAAAAATTGTCAAACAACAAACCAATCCAAGTAAAATCAGTGTGATATCTCTTCTTCAGATCCATGAGACCTCTTACAAATCCCTCAAGACAAGCTGGAATGTTTGGTTCCACCACACTACTCTCACTACATGTGCCTGCTAGTGTGTGGTTCAAGTTTCATTGTCAACTGAAGAGTTTTTTTGAAGATGTACCCCTACTTTGCTTAACCCGTTTCTCATATCCTCACCTGTTATCGCATATATAAATTGGGCACATGTCAACATATCCATTTCACAATGAGTATCTGTGTAAGTTAACTGGGAAAGCCTTTCCTAATTTTCCATAAGTTCAGCTAGGGTCTCTTCTTTCCTCCCTACCCTGCTCCAAAACTTTGCTCTGGATATTTCTTACTAGTGTGTCACTCCAAAGCTGTAGAATAAGGCAGCTACCATTGCTTGATAGTTGTTACAGCTTTCAGCTTGAAGGTTACTTTATGTCATTAAAGCTGGTCCTTTTAAATGGGAAGCAAGATGAACAGCTTGCAATTTATTATTCCACCCAGTCCCTCAAGAAATGATTTCAAATTGAGCCCAGTATGCTTCTCATTGATTTCTCTATTGACCACTGATGAATTGACCAGCTAAAGTTATAACTTCCCTACACTGAAACTCTCAACTGAATGGTTTAATAATCGTTTCTATATTTTATTTGTATTTCATAACCTCATTCAGGAGGATGACTCCACAGTCCACCACCCCCAGTGTGGCTTCAAACTGGAAAGTGGTAAGAACTCTCAAACTGTAGTAAAAATGTGATGGAGAATCTGGAGGAATGAAAACACTTGAGACAGTGCAATGGGTGCCTGGAGAAAGATGACAAACATGTGCAATGGCCAGTAAAGACAGAAAATCTTGTACCACAAACAGAAGCAGGCTCCCAAGTCAAAGAGAAGAAAAAGGGAATCAGGGACAAAACAGGTGGAGAAAGGAATTGAATGACAAGTCCCTCTGATAAGACCCAAAGAACCCATGGAACTATAGTGAAAGATCAGCAAAGGGTAACAACCTAATATAGTGAAGTTCCCACTGGTCCAGAACCCTTGGGTTTGTCTCCAGTACTGTTGGCAACATGCCCTTCAACGAGATGAGAAACCCCTGAAAGGGGACAGGCAGACAAGTGTGCAACCAAAGAGGCAAGGTTCGAGTATTGATGTACAGATTACACACAAGATTTGCAAAAGTCAGATATATGATCGAAAACATATCGCCAAGGAAATCATGAAAAAAAAGAGGTAGCAAAAGTACCTGGGACATCCCAACTACAGTGAAACCATGTGTGTAAAGTGAGAGTGAAAGATTACAAATGAGCCAACATAGAGGTAATAAGGAATTATTAAAAAAACATAACATACCTGAGAAATCATGTAGAAAAATATTAGGCCTAGCTCATTCTGCTGGAGGGGTAGGAAAAAACACTGCAAAATCCGGTGCTGTAAAAAGGCTATTTATTCTTCATTGGCCTGAACAGGTTTGGCTTGTTCAGGAGGATTAGTGGTTTACCCATATAACAATCAATCTCATGATAGATAGATAATAACAGAAATCCAATGACAGATTCCCCCCCCCCCCTATGAAAATAGTGCTAGTGGTATAACACCCGAAGTGGTAACATGAACCTCAGAATTCATTGTAGAAATAAGTAAATCAAATAAAAGTGTTTGATGTAAAATATGCGAGAGTGAGAAGAAAAAAAACTGAGATATAAGTTAAGTTAAAAGATTTCTTCAATGTAAAGAGAAAACAATGAAGAAATCCCACTTTGGCAATTAAACTATTAGAATCACGACTCACATGAAGAGCACCAAAAGAAAACGTCTGAACACTAGTTCTGCCAAACGAAATGTAATAGTTTGGTAGAATTGAATAGAGGGAGCCACATGCATCATGAGAGTATGTCGCACTCTTATTGGTGGAAGGTTGACGCATGATGATTTGGATAAGAAATGCATTGGAATCAGTCAATTCCAATTGAGGGGAGATAGAAGGCTTGTGGCATACATAAAATAAAATTTACATATAGATGGCAGCATTGAATCAGAATAGCTAATTATATGAGAGGAGGTATTGTACCATGTCAGAATTCTGAAACTTGGTTGGGTATTATCGTGGCTAGATTATACCAGGAAGGTCCTTCAGTAATAGATGGCACAGAAGTAGTTGTAATTGGTGTAGACTAAACATGTTTTCCTATTCCATTTTTTTGTAGTAAATGGTATTATATTTTGGAATTCTTGGGCAGATACAGAAATAGATGTGGTGGATTTAATATTTGCAATTGTCACTTCATTTCCAAGACATTTTATTCCATCACTGATATTCTGTTCTAACTCTTTGTATTGTCAGTAGATGCTTTCTTAATTTATTTCTTGTGTAACATTTCTACATTGTTCACTTATACACTGTTATAGGCCAAGTTTAGAAATATTGTTTCAATGGAAATACCTCCCTAATGGTACTATGACTAACATACAAATAAACTTACTTTTACAATTCCACAACTAATTGATCAAGTAAGTGAATATACATGTCTAACACTGATCTGAATACTTTGCTGACTTCTCATTAAATATTTCACTGAATTCTAAACCACTGAACTAATTCATAATTACTGACACACCCATGTCTAGATATTAGTTTCTTGACCTTAACATCATGCACTCTCTCTAGCTATCATCTCAATCAAAATATTAAAAGTATAACTTAAAACATTATATTTTCATCTGTCAACCTACACAGTGTTTTCTGTATAAAATAAAACTGGCTTTTGACTGATAAAAACAAACAAACCAAGTACAGCATATGTTAAGAAAATCTTAAATGTGACATTATAATCCTTTTCTACCTATACCACTGCTATCTGTGCATGTAGTAACTCATAATGTTATTTTTACTGTAAGAAAACAGTGAAATATTTTTAGGCTTCTATGTTAAATAGCTAACCATACATTTAACAAAAACATTGAGGTAAACGTATCACGATTCATAAAATGCTTATATCAATTTATTTTTATTAACCAACTGTACACATTAAACTCAACATAAAACAACATACATAAATTACTATTTCTTCTTTGGTATGTGCCAGTACGTCTGGATTTTGTGGTGATGTATTAAACATAATCAGTCTACATACAATATATTATGATTTTCATTACCTCTAATAACAGTATCACTTCAAGAATAACTAGGTAATTTTCAACCTTATTTGAAACCTCACATTATAATATCAATTAAGCTTAAGTAAACTTATTCCATTATTTAGTGCAAGTCATACATAAATGGTTGAAATATCTTTAACAGTAAAGCTAATAACAACTAATGAAACAAAGCATTCTTAGCTTTATATGAAAGAATATAAGGAAAGTAGATTTCATTAATTACACTCATTACCAGGTTGATATCTAGTTTTATAATAAACAGGTTGCTAGTTCTGATTGGAAGTTAATAACACAATGAAAAGTCAATGCTCAATTTATGAACATTAATCCACACATACAAAACTAGGTAGAAAGACTGAAAATCCATGTATTGCACCAGTGTAACTCGGTGACAAGTGTTGAATCAAATGATAGACTGTGTGCTTCATATTTACTTTTAGTATCCTCACCAACTCATCTGCTGAATAATTTAGTAGTATCAGTGCTACATATAGGTTCACAATACTGCTTAAAACACCATACACATAAATAAACATTTATTTGCAGTATGCAATATTTTAATTTTGTATCAGAGGTAGGAAATTAATGACAACTTTTCCTGCTGTCATTCAGATGAAAACATTCTAATTTGCTGAAATGAAGAAATAATCAATTTTGATTTATTTACAGTTTAACTTTAGAAGAGTTCTGAATTTGTTACAGTAAAGTTTATTTTAATAAGTTGGTAGGTTAATACTAGAAATAAATTATCTTGACAATACCAAAATTTACTATTTTTCTTTAATTGGACATTCAGTGTTTTGCTTTACAATTTCTTCAAAAGTATTCCACTAAAACACAAACTGTAATTGACAGCAGAAAGCTTCAAATGGTGTTAAAAAATTCTAATTCAATATACAGTGTGCATTTGACATATGAAGTAGTAAAGTTACAGACTGAAAAAATCATTATAACTGAAATAATTATAGGTGCTCAAAAGATTTGCAATGATGAGAGTTAAAGTTAAGGAAAAGAGGTTTCACAAGTAAAATCACTCCTTTTGGGCTACAGATATCCACCATTTTACATCAAACAATTTCTCAAGGACTATGATTCACAAAAATCACCATTGCACCTTCAACATGAAAAAAGACAATTTTCCAACAATAACACAAATTATTTTTATGGTACCTCTAATTTTCGAAACTATCTCCCAAAAAATAACTATAATTAGGAAATCTGAACTGCCAATTAGTTAAACAACAATCAGGTCCAACCCTAAAAAAACCAACTTTCAAAATCTTAGTACACTACCCCTACAATGTAATAAAGCTAACTCTCTTACAAAAATGTGTTTGCAATATAAAGATGAGTGTCTTGTTCCAATGTTGGTTGCCAGATTACATCTGCTATCATACATACATACATACATACATAGGAGAAACCAAAATAAGGATAGGAGAACATGTTGACCCTCCTTATAAACAACAAAATGAAAGAAGCACAATTGCAAATCATTTTCCAACTAATCGTGGATAAATGACATAAAACCTCCAGACTGTACAAGTCCTTACTAAAGCTACCAAGTACACTGAATGAAAATTTAAAGAAGCTCTTCCCCTCAATCAATTACATCCACAGATGAATAGGGAGAAAGGATGGTGCCTATAATTATAGTTATTTTTTTGTTACCTTTTGTTATTTCAAACTGTAACTTGGATATAACTTTTGTTTACTACGGGTAGTAATTAGTTATTTCAACAATAAGCTTTACTGTTTGATATGTCAAACACATGCTATTGAAGCAACTAGAAAATTTGAGGAAATTTTACAATTGCTTCAGGTTTTTATTAGTTGAAATGCATAAAACATAATTTAAAAGTTTTAACAGTTCTTTAAGTCTAAGTAAGTAACCAAGGGTATATAAAAAAAGAGGTGATAAGAAGATGCCTGTGTTGTGAATGAGAACTAGTAAATAAGGTCAGAAGCCTAGTTACGCAAGAAACGTTGCCTAGAATCAAGATGAGTACACTAGTACTTGTGACAGGTTGATGGATTACTGACCTCGACCCCTGAGAATTAGGAAAGCTATGAAAAAGTTTGGTTTAGTGAGTAGTATCAGCACTTTGAGGCAATATCAGTTATAGAACATGGGTGTAGCAGTACAAGTAAATAGGTGGCCAGCTAACATCACTTATCTACAACCAATTACTTGAGAGTTCTGGTTATGGTTTTAGATTAGCCCGGGAATTCCTCTAAAGCATCCAATAGGAACACGGGACTACTTGTGGGTGATGCTGTGTCCTATTTAGTGGGTCGAGATAATACCAACAAAAGTTAGTTTATAAACTCATGTCAGAGACTGAAAAATCGGTTCTTCCGGTGTTCTGAAGTACCTAGAAAAGCCGATTAATGAAGATGTCAAATGTGACTAAAACTCCCAGCAACCCAACTCTACTGTAAGTATAATCTCTCTCTCTTAATCAGCTAGTGTTAGAACTATAAAAAGTATTAAATGTATCTAGTTAAAAAGTGTTTTAATGCCAGTATATAAGTATTTAATCAAATTTGTTTTAACGAAGTTATGTTTTTGGAGAAGTTGTTAAATGTTTAATAAATATTATTACAAGTGTTCACCACTGGCCTGAGACTATTTCTTTAGTCTAACTGTAAATTACCTCTAGTTAGCGACTTGTGGCTCCACTCATCACGACAAATCCTCCAATAAATTTGGTGTAACGAGTAGTTTTAATTGCTTCAGGAGTGTTCCACTAAAACAAACTGTAACTGATAGTACAAAGCTTCAAATAGCTTAAATAACAAATCCTAATGAAATCTATAGTGTAAAGAATAGTGCCCTGGTGGGCTTAATTGTTGGAGTTTCAGCTATTAAGCAAAAGACTGAATGTCCAATTAAAGAAAAATAAAAAATTTGGTGTTATAAGGTCATTTATACACCAATATGCACTACAGAAATTAAATAATAAGTAACATACATTAAAAAATTTTACTCTCATTATTTCATAACTACATTTTTTTTCCTCAAGACAATTAAACTGCTTCATACCTGAAAATAAGTTTAAAATCTAACAACTGTAATTAAAGGATAGTTCAAAGAATTAATAATGGAATAACTCTTGTATTTCTAAACTTTATGCACAAATTATCAAGAAGTTACATAATTATCAATCATATATTTATATTTGAGTAATACAATACAAGTACATCCAACTTAATTTTTATATTGATTAACTTACTGGTGCTACAGCATTAACTCTGATGCCATGATGTGCCCATTCTACTGCAAAAGATTTTGTGAGGTTTTCCACACCTGCACGTGCTGCTCCTGAATGGCTACAAAGAGGAATGCATTTCTGGTCAACATCAAATTTGTGAAAACAAACTTTTAAAGTAGGCTAAAAAGCTTCTTGTAGCTTAAATACTGTATTCAAACTATAGCATGTGAAAACAATGCAGAAGATTGAATACAATATGAAATATATCCACACTGTTACTCTACATTTGTGTTTCAGAAGCATTATGCACACTGGTTATGGCTGTATCATTATTACATATTTTATGTATGTGTAAAGCAATGTTTACAACAGTTTTCAAACTCAAACAACCATTTGCTGGTCATTTGTATGGGTATTTATGTACAGTATATATGTGAAAGTTATTTATTACAAAATTCCAGCTTATTCATTTTCTATTTGCATATTGGGATGTGTACCATTTTTTATATGTTGCTAATAATGTTCTCCCTCATACGTTTTATATAAGTGGTTACTCTTTTAATTTTTCACTTCATGTTTCAGAACAAATTTAATTGATACTCTCTCATTACCCAACACTGAAACATGGCAAAACCAGTTCATTTAGTAAGCAACTTTATTCAACTAATTAAAAAGTTAACTTGTTTATGTATTTGTATAAATAATGCATGTAAACAGTAGCTTTCTTTCTCAAGAAGTTGTTTTCATTTAAAGGAAGATGTAAAAGTAAAACTACTAGATCAAAATCAGTGTTTTGCATGGTTTACATGCAAAACAATGTTTCTTTTTGTTATTTTATTGTATTAATTAATTCACTGAATTATGAACTGTTCATGGTGTATGTGTGTGAAGAATTTGTATTCATATAAAGTACAAAAAATCACATACATGTTCAGATTATTTTATCTTTAGACTACAAGTTTAGACACTAATGTTATTTTACATTTGTGGGTCCTTTTTTATGAATTATAAATTAGGGAATTTTGGGGTGACACTGACTTGTAAAACAGATTTTCCCTACTGTATGTAAAAATAGAAATGTTTCATAAATACATATGTATATATATGAACAGTATACTATTTGATGTAGTATTTTTAACAACTTACGCCATCATAGGAACACCTCGGTCCATGTCCATTAACATGTTAACAATAACCCCACCATGCTCACCCATCCACTGTTTATGTGCTGTGACAGAAAAGACATACGAAATTATGACACCTATTTTATGTAATTTCTAGATAATGTAATATAAACTATAATTTCACCAAAATAGGAAGTTATAATTTTCCTATAGTGAAAATGTATTTCTGATAGGTACTTACCTCCAATCATAAGATTAGCTATTCTCATTTGGTGCTGCCCTCTATATGCAAACTTTTTTTATGCATGCTACAAGCCTTATTGGAAGTGCAAGATTCTAACATGTCTCTCATGCAAATCATCATATACCACCTCCTCAACCAAACTATCACTATAATTCTAACTTCCAATACGATACTTACCTCCACTCACAAGATTAGCTAGAAGATGGCAGTATCCCCAAAAAACGTCCAAAGAAGACCCCTGGAAATTAAAAATTCAGATCAGAAAAGGGGAACTGCACCACTTATGAGCCAGGTATACTCTTTGCCCAACTGTGGAATGTGCAAGATATAAAGGTGGTAAATGAGAGGAGCACATCCAAGTGAGAGAGAATTTGGCAGGAAAGTGATCCTAACCATAGAAATATACTGTTACTCAATTACACAATGAGAAATCTGGGTAAACAAGGGATGCACCTCTAGGTGTATAGTGGCTAGTGCACGGCAGACCGTACTTGGTAAGTCAACTACATCCAAAACCTGCCCGACATCCACACAAAGGTAGGATGAGGATCATACCATCTTCATCTCAATCCCAAGAACCGAGGGATTGAGAACTACTCTGATTCCCAGCTATGACACGAGGATTAGCTCTGAGCTATTGATCCGGGAAGTTGACATCTGGTATCAAAAGGATGTTTACTGCATGCAATCAACTCCCCCAACCATAAAACAGGCCTGAACAATCCAACTGGCAGTAACATCCTCGTAAGAAGAGAGGACAAGGGATATCCAAGGACAGAACTGGAACAATCCCATGTACCACCGCTGTGACCCACAACACAGATGGAAGATATCAAGAGGAAGACAGACAACCCGAAACCTGTGTGAGAACTTATGTTGATTGGTTCACTTTAAATTAACATCCACAAGGGTGTAGGATGAGGGCTCCCAATTGGTGAATTGTATTTTGTCATTTCACTATGTTGCCATTGGTTATCACAAATAGGAGGATATCTTGTCATCTACTTCTGCAGAACACCACCACCCTACTCTGTAGCTGAATGGTTATTGTGTGGAACCCATTCAGCAGGGTGCCTCCATGGTCAACTACTCCAGCAGCTTGGAACTGGAAATTGGTAAGAACTCAGAAAGGAGGGTAACAATGCAGTGGAGAGTCCAGACGATCATCATCACCTGAGACAATGCAACTGGTTACCACAAATCCTTATTTTAAAAAACAGACCATACTGATTTATTCAATATAAGGCATGGCAGGGATTGGCAGTAATCCCCCTTCTGCTTTACCCATGCAGTCCATTGGTGGTACTGTCTAGTACAGGCATGTTTATGAAGCAAAATATCATAAGGTCATGCACCAACAAGTGATCTTGTGAAGCCATGGGAGATAAATTGTGAGTCAACATGGCTGGACATTGTAGATTTCGAGTTAAAGAATACCTGGTCAGGCACCACTCACCACAGAGTGGAATCCATGGCATAAAGAAATAGAGAAAGGCCCCTGAAAAGAAAGTATGAATAAAAAAACTTACCAGTTGGTGTCTCACCAAAGTCTAAAAAAAAGCCACAAGACAGTAGACAAAACCCAGATGAAGGGGAAATCACAATATGATGAAGATAGTGGGAGATGAATGTATTGGGTGTGGTCCATATATCAGACTGCAGAATCTCCTCCATTGGACGATTAAGACAAGAATCAAGGGAAAAAGTGAGGTGTTGGATCTGATGGGAAGACACCTGGAACAAATTCCAGGAGAAAGAAGGTTGGGAGAAATAGGCCAATTGAACCAAAACATAACCCAATTGGTAAGGGTAAAAGGAAAAATATCATAAAGGAAGGAAGATTGTCAGGGGATAAAGACTTGGGAACATGTACCCCAGAAGGAAGCAGTATAACAATGAAGTGCCCTGACTGGGCACAGAAACCTATGTGGGTCTGGTTGAGGGTAAAGATGGGAAATAGAAGAAAAGGAGAAAGCACCCTCCCAAGCTGCAGAGGTCTTTGGGAGAAAGGAACGATCTGGATAAAGGAGAAGATAAGTAGTGTGATAAAGGGTATGTGAAACGTCAATGCCAAACAAATTTGACCATTGACGTCCACAGGATAAGAGAAGAGAATGATGAAACATGGAACACAAGGAAAGTGGTTCAAATGAAGATAAAGTAAAGGAATGGAGGACCACATTAATATCCCAATACAGAAGGGTAGGTCACCTGGGAGGGTGATGTATCCAGAAGGAACACATGAGCATGGTAAAGACAGGGGAAATAAAAACTACAATATCAGGAAAAATGAAAGGTATGAGATAAGGTCACCCAACATCCCAAAAGCAAGGAGACCGAAGACCTACAGTCAAATTCTGCCATAGTTGGCCAATTAGCAGGAAACCCCCTAGTTGTAGACCAATTATGGAATACCTTCCACTTGCATTGCACCTCCATGAAAGATAGACAGATGGAACCAGCTAATAAGGAAGCAACTCTATCTTCTCACAAAAGCCAGACACGAAGGGTGGAATGTAGGACATTTGACTGAGGTTGACAAAGGAGGTAGGAAGAAAGTGGAAAAGAAACAGAAGGGGAGAGGAGCAGTCACTATAACCATCAAAACCAAGGCTAAGCTGGCCAATAATGAGCAATCAGGAGAACACAACAAAGAGTAGAGTGGATGAGAGAAATCACTCAATGAAATAATCAGATGGGTGGGTACACATAAAGATACTTGTGTGACTAATCCTGGCTGAAGGCATCAACTACCAGAGCATGGGGATGAGGTACAGGCAACCAAAAGTGAGGTAACTTGTTGTTGAGACCCATAGCAAAGGCATACACATGGGGAGAACTCCACCAATAGCAAAGATCCCTGAAAATGAGTGGACCTAATGGCCACACTGTGGGATATATCTTGTAGGGACATGAAAGATGATCCATGACCACATTGAAATAAACCGGCACATGACACACAATGAGATGAATGTGAGGTGCATGGATCCAGTATAAGAAAACAGAGATCTCTGGACCAGGTGCCCCCTTGGTGGTTGATATGTGCCACCACCATAGAATTGTCTGAATGAACCATCACCAGACAGTGTCGGGTGAAAAGAAGGAATTGATGCAATGCTCGACGTATGGCTAGAAGTTCAAGAACATTGATATGCAAAGTGTTTTCCTCTGCAGTCCAATGGCCCCAAAGCCTTCTGGTGATTGACCCATGACCCCATTCCTGAAGGGATGCATCCATGAAAAGATGTAGATCTGGATGTGGGGAGGAGGTGATACATCCACTGTCATATGGGCTTTGTCTAACCACCAAAGCAGATCATCTTGCAGGGAAAATGGAAGGGAAATAGGGTGGAAAGAGGATCCCAAGCAAGGTTCCATCGATTGTGAAGTGCCCACTGAAGGGATCTCATATGAGGCTGACCGAGGGGGCCCAGGGATGTCATTGATGATCACATTCTCAAAAGCAATATAACCTCACAAGCAGTAAGTGACTAAGCCAAGAGGGCATTGCAAACCAACAGTTTCATAGAACAATGTTGTAAAGGAGAAATTGGACCCGACTGACATAAGTGTTGAAAAAGACCCCCCAAATGGACAAGATATTGAGTGGGTCTGAGGAAGGACTTCTCCAGTTTGATCAACCAGCCCACCTGAGCCACCACAGAAAGAAGCTGCCTAGTATGATTGGCTTCTTCTGCCTCATTCCAAACATGAATTGGCCAATCACCCATACAATAATGAAATCCAGTCCCAGAGTATGGAGTTGTCGAGGAAAAGCTCGGACTACTCGGCAAAATACAAAAGGTGCAATGGCAAGTCTGAAAGCAAGGGCCCAAGATGGAGAAACTGGAGGTAAGGATAAGACGGAGGTGATATCGGTATATGTAGGTAAGCATTAGAGACATCCATTTTGGTCATCCACAATCCTGGAGAAAATGCCAATCTTGGGGTGAGAAAAGACTATATGGTGAACCAGGGGAGTGAAATGAAGCAGTTGAGGCAAGATAAATTGATTACCAGCCACCAATTTCCTGTCTTCTTTGGGATAATGAAAAGGTGTGAATAAAATCCCCAGGAAGGATGGGGATCAGATTCGATGGCCTGCTGCACGAGTAATTCCCAAACCACTTCTGACAGCTGCTGGCTGATCATGGGATCTCAAGGAGGAGAAAAGGAAATGGGTAGTAGGAGAGATGGAAGGTGGGGAAAGAAACTGGATAACACATCCTTCTGACAGTACCTGAAGCACCCATCAATTGCCAAAGAAGGAAGCCGGCAATGAAGAAACTCAAACAGCCGAGCTCCCACTAGACCTGAACATACTGGATAGTCACTGGTACTGGTGGCAACAGGGGGTGCATCATCGAGGAAGGCAACAAGAAAAAGTACATCAAGTAGAAAGAACTAGTAAGTGCTGGGAAGGGGAAGGACGGGAAACAGTAATTGGAGGCATATGAGGCTCTGACTGAGACAAACGGGCTACAATATTTGTAAGGGTGGATTGTTGTTGGACTGATGTCACCCGAGGCTCTAGAGTTTCTGGGACCGTATCAAAAATGTAACTCCTCATAAATGAGGCCCATACGTAAATCCCTACAATATGTCAAGGGTAAATGGACCCGAGCCAATACAGCATCATGACCTATAAAGTCCCAACAACAAAACCATGTATGTAACACCAGAGTTGAAGGCAATATTTGAGGAGGGGAAGGAAAAGGTATCTCCAGAAAACCAAACCCCTCAGGATTTCTTTGGAGAGCCTCAGATAGGCGGTGTATGGAAGAAAGATACCATAATAGGCAATAATGAACCTAACAACTGCCGATCTAAAAATGGATAGTCAGCATGATCGTAGGAAAG